GGCTATGCGACCATTTCCAAAGCTGACCATTTTTAAAGACTTGATGCAAAGAGCCAAGATGGAGGCCAGGTTATGTATGAACTTTCTGTAATAGTTCACCAATCCAGGGAAAGACCTAAGCTCCAGTGCAGACATGGGAGCTGGGGCACCTTTGATCACCCTCACTTTATCTACCAACGGGTGTAACCCAGTCTTGTCGACTCTGTAGCACAAGTAGGTCACTTGGGGTGCCTGGAAAACATTTTTTTTTCTTTTAAGGTGTATGCCTGTGTGGGAGAAACATATAAGGACAATGTCCAAGTGCTCAAGTGCTCCTTAATGGTCTCCCCTGTTATTAGCATATCATCTCAATTAATGGTGACCTGAGGTAGACTTTGTAAAACGTTCTCCATCGTCCACTAAAAAATTGCACAGGCTGATGATACCCCAAATAGCAGTCTAGTATATTGGTACAAACCCTTAAGGGTATTAATTGTAGCATACTTCTGCGAATCCTCATCTAACTGCAATTGCAAATATGCATGGTTCATGTCCAGCTTCTTAAACAACAGTCCCTCTGCCAGCTTTGCATCTAAATCCTCTAAGTGAGGGATTGGATATTTATCCAATTGCGAAAAGCAGTTTACGGTTTGTTTAAAATCCTCACAGAGGCAAACAGACCCATCGGGCTTCACAATGCTGTCCATTCTGCAAAATGTTGTGGTTTGACGATTCCTTCACTTTCCAGCCTTCTGATTTCTGCCTCTGTTTTTCCCCGTACTTTTGGCTGGGCCTCGCAGAATCATGAAATTTGTTTCCTGGTGAACAAGTAAGGTGGCTTTGGCTCCTTTCGTAGTCCCTAGAGAAACTGCTGGGTATTTAATTAGGACTTTGCTCAGGCAGCTATTTTCCAAGTGAAAATGTTGAGGCAATCTTGGTGAATTTTTCTCAACCAATTTTGCCCCATCAAGCTTGGGCCTGAACCTTTTACCAGGATCACTGGTAACTGAATTACATGCTTCTCATAAGAGTCTGGAAACAAAGTTGTACCCTTTAATCTGTAAAGGCTCCCCAGTACAAGTTCTCGGTTTAGCCAAGGTCTTGCGTGAGTTTAAAGGTTCGAGTCCAGAACAAATTTTGTTTAAAAACTGGTACTGTGATCACTGAAACAGCCGCGCTGGTATCATCCTCCAATAGAACCAGGTGACCATTTTACCAGACGTTCATTTTGATTGGTTCTGATCTGGATGTTGCTAAGCAAATTTATCGTTCCAAATCAGAATTAGGTGGACTTTCCAGGGTGTGCACTCTCCTGGCCTATGAGTTCTCTTACTCAGTTTAGGCCTAGTGGACTCTCTTGCTGCCTCGAGTCCACATACTGGCAGCAACTACAATGGCTTGCTGGCCTAGATCCTGAAGAAAATGTTAACTGTTTAGCCAAGGCTTGGCTTTGTTTTGGGGTTTTGCTGTGGGCTGACCGAGAATCTTTGTTCAGGATATCTCCTGAGTGAGGTTATGCAATTGCCTTCACCCAAGTGGTGGCTGACAGATATAAACAGGAGGGTCAGAGGTTCTATTCACTCTGTGAGCTGGCTCCGAGGGAGCTGGATCGGTGTCGAGGACTCTCCACGTGTAGTAAAAGAGTGACTTGTTGACAAGATACCGGCCTCTGTGAAGTTATTTCATCTTCCTTGTCCATTGTTCTCTATTTCTGAGTGTAAAGTTCATAAATTATAATGTGATGTGTTGCCAATAAATTGGGATGAGAATATTGCAGGGAATACATGCTAAATAGAAACGTTCTATTGTATTTCAGTGTAACTATAGTCTTTCCATTGACTTGTTTTCTTTCCTGATTCTGTTTTGGTTTCACTTGCCATCTTCATGTCTCCATCTAATGTATCCTGACAAGTTGCTTTTAAGATAAATGTCTCCGAAAAAAAACTGACATTGAATCAAACAAGAATAATTTGGGAAAGATGTCTAAAAGTTTGATCAAGGCAATAAATTCTCCCAGGTTTCCTAAAGTGCTGATTTAAGTGAGATTGTGAGAGATGGGAAGAGATTTAACAATGGAGTTTCAGATCTTTCTACTTAGTTGCCAGATGTTTGGATGCTGGTGGGGGGGTATTAAGAAGGAGTGGAGAATACACAAGAGGCCAGAGTTGGAGGCTGTAATAGATAAAGTACAAAGGATAGAAAAGAAAAGTGTAACAGATAGAAACTATGAAGAAATATTCATCACGTAGAATCATAGAAATATACAGCACGGAAACAAACCCTTCGGTCCAACTCATCCATGCTGACCAGATATCCTATTTGCCAGCATTTGGCCCATGTCCCTCTAAACCCTTCCTATTTATATATCCATCCAGATCCCTTTTAAATGTTGTCATCGTACTGGCCTCCACCACTTCCTTTGGCAGCTCATTCCATACACGCACCACCCTCTGCATGAAAAGGTTGCCTCTTAGGTCCCTTTTATATCTTTCTCCTCTCACCTTAAATCTCTGCCTTCTCATTTTGGACTCCCCTGCCCTGGGGAAAAGATCTTGCCTATTTACCCAATCCATGCCCCTCATGACTTTATAAACCTCTATAACATCACCCCTCAGCCTCCAACACTATAGGGAAAATAGCCTATTCAGCCTCTCCCTATAGCTCAAAGCCTCCAACCCTGGCAACATTCTTGTAAATCTTTTCTGAACCCTTTCAAGTTTCACAACATCCTTCCTATAGGAGAAAGACCAGAATTTCACACAAAACTCCAAAGTTAAAAGAAGTCTAGAAAGTAGATGAAAGACACAGCATTTAGTAGGAGCATTTTTCCGGATGGTTGCTTATTTAATGCAGTACTTTGTGAACAGAACTGTACATGCCAAACTTATGACTGATTTTCTTTCAGACTTGCAAACACATCATTGTAAAAGATATGAATATCATCATCATGGACATGAGGTGACAACGTGAGACTACTACAATCCTGGAGTCTGTATAAATTATTTAGAATAAACAATATGTTGCTTTCAAGTTTTTATTACCAGTTTCTGACAACTGGATTATTTAACACATTTTGTACATTCAGGTGAAATAAAGTGAAATAAGGTGGTTAATATTTCTTTTTGAAATGCACCAAGTATTTCACATGTATGATGTGAAATTGCAAATGCTAGTTATGTCCAAAAGTGTTTATAAAATTGACTCTGAAATTCACGCTGAAGCTAATAAATGCTGTTCATTTCTTTGCTATGTTTGGTGCATGCTTTTCTTGTTTTGGATTTAAAAGTGCTACTTTGCAAAGTTAGTACTCGTAGAAATGGTGTTTTGCATCATTACTGATTTTTAGGTTGCTCCTTGTAATATTATCATTCAACCATTCTCATTAAATTTAACTACGTGTTTGATCCCATGTGGCCTGGGGAATTGTACAAACTTTTTATTGAGTTTGCTTTTACAGAAGCAAAGCTGCAGAAACTTCCCAAGCTATTGTCATGAAGAGAAATTGCTAAGTGACCACAGCCATAGCTGCAGTGACACTTTTTTAGCCAGATCGGCTCATCTCAATAGAAAGTACCTTATGTACAGCACTCATACAACGTAAGGCTATGTAAATGTTGAATTAATGTACACCATCCAGTAATTAAAAGCACTTACAAACTCTGCTTTTTGCTTAACCGTTTACACCAAATACCCAAAAGGATTAAAGTTCACTTGCAAAAGTGAACATCAAGACCACGCATCCCACAAGTGTGTCTATTACTCATTTTTTAATTTACTAATCAGAATGCAGTGGGTACATCTGAATTCTCAATTAGTCACATAACTAATGCAATGGACAATGTTGTTCTATGAGCTATTTCTGTTATAAATTTCCACTAAATTTATATGTTTTTCTTCTAATTAGATAATTATTAACTTGGAGGATGGGGATAAAAACATCACCAGTGATTAATTTAATGTTTTAACACATGAATTGCTGTGGGATGTACCTGATGTAACTGCTACTGGTGAACACATGTTCTGGTGTACAAACTCAATTGGGTCTCAATGGAAGTAGCCATATTAGTAGATTGTAAATACTACATCATTAGAATGAATTGCATGAATAATTGTATTTTCCTCCTAAATTTATACTGTAAAAACAGTTAAAACAAAAACAGCCCAGTGTTTTTGTTTGGTTCTTAACTTATTTATATGGCCCAAAATTAATCTTCTCTAATAGTTGAACAAAAAGTAACTAGTTTAAAGGAACAGCTTACACCGATAGGAATGATGCTCAATTAGCAACACACTGGATTATTACTGAATTCAACATGGAATACCTTAAATGTAATGCTTGCTGAATAATAATTTTTATGGTGAGTAGTTCCATGTGACAAGCATTATGATATTGTTAGACTTTACACATTCCAACATAGTTCCCACATAATAGGAAAAATCTAAAGATTTAAGTCAATTTGTAGCTTCATCGCGTTTTAAAAACACATTGTTAATTTCTTTAGTTTTCAGGTTCAGTACTGATAACCACACGTAATTGAAATTTGAATAACAAAAATAAGCTTTCTACATGGGTCTTTCAATTCAGTTCTTTGTTAAATTGGATTATTAACTTCTATTAACAGCACAAGACACACCTGAGTTCAGAAACCCAGTGGACTGCTTGAATCAAGCATCCTCTGTAATAGTTTATTAAACCGTCATTTTTTTGAAGCATTAAATCCAAGATGACTGCATTTCCCAGAAAATAAAGTAAAAGCAGACAACAGTGAAAGGAAATGTAAGCAGTTTAGGAAAATGTGAACACAATTTACATAAATTAGCAATGGGAGATTATTTAATCTGAAGCCAAAAGTTTTGAACCAAATTTAAAATGAAAGGTGATATCTTGAAATAAATAAACCAAGATACAGTTTAAATTTCCTCTGTCATCTTTGATTTTAGTCATGTCTGATTAGTTCACCATTACTCTACTAAATAAATAGATGTCAAATATTTCAGGAAACACAAGACAATTGTGAATATACTGGCAACACATTCTGACTTTATTTTAAAAACTCCCATTCATTCAGTTAAAGCTACAGCTAATATCTAGTGTCAGAGCAATGGAATGAAAACAGTAAAAAGTATGTTTCTCTAATTGCACATTCACAGTTTTCTTGTTGCAAAAAGATACAAAAAGAGGAGAGAGGAAAGATGACGGTTTAAAAGCATTTGCGGTGTACAATGGATGGACCAGCTTCGTCATATTCGGGCTTGCTAATCCACATCTGCTGGAAGGTGGAGAGAGAGGCCAGGATGGAGCCACCAATCCAGACTGAGTATTTGCGCTCAGGAGGAGCAATGATCTATTATCAAAGGTACACAACAAAATGATATCAGTGACTTGTACATAACCAGTTTGCAATCACAGCTTAAATAATGGGCAATGTTCACTCATTTGTTTCTTTGAAAATGTGGCTTGCTATTGGAATTGTTACTTTACAACTTTTATTTTGCTTTCTTCAACTTCAAACATTTGGTAACTGCAGAGGTGGGCTGGGGATCAGGCTCTGTCTGTTCAGCTGGCTATAAGGGCATGACAGTGATCCCAGATGCCTAGCTTCTTTCTGCTTTTCCACTTCCTGATCCTGCAGAGGGGCCTAACCCTTTGGAATTTCATCATGTTGAGAACTTCTGGTACTGTGGATACAAACCCATTTGCAGGCACTGAAGGCTGTTAGTTCTCCTCTGTCAAAACACGGCTGTGGGTTCAAGACCTACATCAGGGCTAAAAGCATTTATTCTAGGATGACCCACAGTAATAACTACTGAATTTCCAAAAGTGTATTCTTTTGGATGAGATGTTAAAATGAGGTCATCTATTCCTGCTCATGATGAAACAATCGTCCTGACATTATTAAAAGAAAACACAGTATTTTTAGTATTGTGACCAAAAGCCAAATCCTACACCTGCTTTCTTTCAACCTCCCAACCCCAACAAACATGTACTGTCAAACTCGAATTTCTATCAATAAAAAGTTGCACACAGCCAATTTACAATGCTGATTAAAATGCATCTTAAAGTGGAATACTATTTTAAAATTGTACAATAACTTACAAAATTTACTACAGGCTGAAGTATTACAGAACTTGAAATTGTTGTTGACTGGAAGTAGTTTTAAAATGTTACTGTATTATATACAGCAACAGCAATGGTTATAAGGTCTTTTACACTGTGATAATCTGAATGGTTCATTTTCATCCAACCAACTGCTAATGCTAAAACATATTCCAGCAAGAGTGATGATAATGTCACTGGATAAGTAAATCAGAGCCCTGAAAATTCCCTGGGAACAGGGTTTCAAATCTTATCATGGCAGCTGCTGGAATTTAAATTCATTTAATAAGTTTGGAATTTAACGTCAGTCCCTGAAACAGTGGCCATTGAAACTATTGTTGTAAAAGCCTATCTGGTTCACTTACATCTTTTGGGAAAGAATATCTGTTGTCCTTACCTGGTCTGGTCTCCACGTAACTCCAGACACATAGCAATGTGGTTAACTCATAACGTTCCTCTGAAAGGGCTGAACAAGCCACACATTTCAAGGGCAATTAGGGATGGCCAACAAATGCAGGTCTTGCCAAGGACTCCCACTTGCCAAATACTTTGTGCCCCTTTTCATGCATTTAGCCTCCCTTCTGCATTGTCATTAAGCATCATTGCCTGACTGAGAGTCAGAGAGGTAAATTGCTCCTGTACTATTATTCAGCTAGTCCGAGGAGATAGGCACATTTTTCTCTTACCACTTCGAGGAAATGCACTCCTAGAGGATGAGGCCAGGACTTGGATGAATAGTTTGCACCAACATCTATCCATCCTTATTCATCTATCTTAGCTATCCATACAAGAGTGTGAAGTTTTTTTTTAAATGTACAGTTATTTAAAGTTAATATATTTTAGAAAGATACCTTGAAATTTATCAGAGCTCTGTTAATTAAAAATAAATTTGTAGATTTGTTTTTAACATGTAACCCATGGAGAGCCATGTTTGCTGAACATAAACAAAATATCTACCTAATTGGAAGTGCATCTTATCAATAAGGACATTTAACCTAGACCTTTTATGAGTTGGGTCAAGAAACTTCTTCAAATTATCAATGAAGACAAGACAGTAATCTACGCAGTGTGCATTTACTGCAAAACCAAGTGAAATAAACTGAGAAGCTGAACTGGTTCAGAGATAGTAGGAATTGCAGATGCTGGAGAATCTGAGATAACAAGGTGTAGAGCTGGATGAACACAGCAGGCCGAGCAGCATCAGAGGAGCAGGAAAGCTGACGTTTCGGGCCTAGACCCTTCTTCAGAAATAGCGGGAAGGCTGACGTTTCGGGCCTAGACCCGTCTTCATTTTAATTCTTCATTTTTTCATTTTAAGACCCATTTCTGAAGAAGGGTCTAGGCCCGAAACGTCAGCCTTCCTGCTCCTCTGATGCTGATTGGCCTGCTGTGTTCATCCAGCTCTACACCTTGTTATCTGAGAAGCTGAACTACTTGGTGAGCATCATTGAAATAGCCAAATAATAATGTGTTGAGATTGGCTATAAATAATTTATAGTTGTGCACTTGATAAATGGATATACAGATGGAACGGACATTAGGGCAACTTTGATTTCAGAAACAGTGTATACCTGTGTTATCGGTATTATACCGTGTTATAAGATACCATTGACAGAATGCATTGAGCCAGAAGCAATGTGAGTATCAGTTGATGTTTATGGTGACTACACGATCTGAACATCAACATGAGTAATTTCTGCCTTCTTCTGGCTTTAACAATATAATCACAGAAAAGAAAACCCTTCTCTCATTCCTTTTACCCATTTTGTTGGGCGAACAACCATTCTGCTTGACATTATTAAACAAAGTCAACAATGATGAGACACAAAATAACAGTTGTGCTGTTTAATTTCGTTAAATGCTTATGCTACTAACCTTGATTTTCATGGTGCTGGGAGCAAGTGCTGTGATTTCCTTTTGCATACGGTCAGCAATACCAGGGTACATGGTGGTACCTCCAGACAGTACGTTGTTGGCATACAAATCCTTCCTGATGTCGATATCACACTTCATGATGCTGTTATATGTGGTCTCATGGATGCCTGCAGACTCCATTCCTGCCAAGTAAATGGTATAGTAAATCCCATATGATCAAAGGAAGTTTTGAGTTCTAGACACTCATGTGAAAGGAATCTCATGTTGTTGACTATGTAGAAAAATGCAAGTTTGTAAACCTACTATTTATGGAGATGTGATCCAATTCAAGATGGCAAATGGATTAAGCAGATGATGGTTAGATAAAATTGCGTTAGTTATATTATGACACCTGATTCCATGTAACCTTACTGATACATAGGGACCATAGGAACAGGAACAGGCCACTCAGTCCCTTGAAAATGTTTCACCAGTCAGTTAGATTCTGGCTAATCTGAACCAGAACTCCATTTACCCAATGGAGATGTCTGCACATGTAGTACCCTGATTCAGGATACAATAGTGATGGCTCTGCCATGAATGACTGACTTAAAAGCTGCCTGCTCCCGGGTCAGTTAGCGTCATTGTAGAATTAGTAATAAAAGTGAATTGTGTTCACATTTGGGACTACAGTTTTCCTACTCAATGAAGAGGATGTTGGTCATGATGGACCACAGTGGCTGGGATACTAAGTTATTGCATAGCTGACCCATGCATTCTTTTTAGACCCTTTAAACCATTGAACTAGCAACTAATGCTGAAGCATTAAATCAACTCACCAATGAAAGATGGCTGGAAGAGAGTCTCTGGGCAACGGAAGCGCTCGTTGCCAATGGTGATGACTTGGCCATCAGGCAGTTCATAACTCTTCTCTAAGGAAGATGAGGAGGCAGCTGTGGCCATCTCATTCTCAAAGTCAAGAGCCACGTAGCACAGCTTTTCCTTAATATCACGGACAATCTCACGTTCAGCTGGGAATCAAACAGAAGTAGTACATAAGATTTCTCTTTGATAATACTTGATTGGATCTCATGGCTGTGCTAAATATACACCTGCACATAGGCTTGTGATTGCTCTTCCTTCTACTAAATTTAAGTTGGCAAAAAAAAATTGAGGTATCATGTTGCAAGGAGTATCTTGGAAAAATAAAAAGTAAAACTAAACAAATCATTCAAAGCTACCCAGTAAAATTGAGGATATCGCGTCAATAACTTCCTACCAATCTGATCATTTGCATCAGTTGAATTTGCACTTGCTCCAATTGGATAACATCTACCACAGTCTTTCCTTGGTATATAAAATGCTGCTTTGCTTGTCTTTCCCAAGGCAAGGGTGAAGACGAGTTATTTTTAATAGGAGCTGTTTGTATCCATCTGTTGGTTGAACAATCATAAGGATCCTACGTGAAAACTTGGCTTTGGAATCATCAGTCAGACAACTGGGGGAAGTGGGTTTTGTGGCCACTATGGAATTAGGCATTTCTCAAGTTATTCTAAATTGGGATTCAAACAGTTTTTATTTCCTTTCATTATAAAAATAATTATTAAAAGATACATGACATGTCTACACTTAAACACTTGTGAAAACTTCATGCTTTGCACTTATTGGCATTACTGCAGGCTTAAATGTACTTTGAACATAAAGTAGGTCATCCTTATGACCACGGCTATGTAAAGTCATGGCTGTATTTTAAAAATAAAAGCCCTCCTGCTCCTCACCTGTGGTGACAAATGAATAGCCGCGTTCAGTAAGGATTTTCATGAGGTAGTCAGTGAGATCACGGCCAGCCAGATCCAAGCGCATGATGGCATGGGGCAGGGCATAACCCTCATAGATTGGCACATTGTGGGTGACACCATCTCCAGAGTCCAGCACGATACCTGCATACAGGCACAACCACCTGATCAGAAACAGCCACAAGTAGGCCCTCCTGTCTCCTAGTGCAGGGAACATCTCCTTTACTTACCAGTTGTACGGCCGGACGCGTAAAGGGACAGCACAGCCTGGATAGCAACATACATGGCTGGCACGTTGAAGGTCTCAAACATGATCTGGAAATGAACAAAATAGTTATGTAGTGCCATTAGGTTAGTCCATTGTTTTCAGCTATGCCAGCATAAATTCAATATCCAAAGTGTGCAATGGCGTGGAAATAGTTACATCAATATTTTTAACATAATGTTTATTTAATAGAAGTACTAGATCCATTTGGGGGGTTTGCCAAATCATTGCAGCATAATGTAGCTAGTCAAGAGCAAATTGATTAGTGCCAAGCTAGCAACAAACTGGCAGTACAGTACCTGGGTCATCTTTTCACGGTTGGCCTTGGGGTTCAGGGGAGCCTCAGTGAGCAGAGTTGGATGTTCCTCAGGGGCTACACGTAGCTCGTTATAGAAAGTGTGGTGCCAGATCTGTGGGAAAATGACCAGTGTTTTAAAATACAGTTGTTCTATTCATCCCTGTTGCAATTATTGTATCAATTTGCTTGGTTCAGTATCAGGCCTTTGGAGCTGTTTCTAGCTGGGTTGATTTAACTGGTTCAGGAAGAATACAAATAGTCTCTTGCCTTCTCCATGTCATCCCAATTTGTGATGATGCCATGCTCGATTGGATATTTCAGGGTCAGGATCCCTCTTTTACTCTGAGCCTCATCACCTACGTAGCTGTCTTTCTGGCCCATTCCGACCATAACGCCCTGTAAGGTTAAACAAGACAGGCAGAGTCCATATGTATGATCCACACACTAAAGCAATGTTTGAGAATATACAATTAGTGGGGCCAGAATGCAACACTTACAACTGGGAATAATTAACATGGAGTTCCTGTGAATTTGACATTTATAAAGCTGCACAGCTGTTACAACGACTTTTGGAAATCCTAGCGTGTCAGGCAGCATCCCTGGAGTGAGAGCAAGCTAACGTTTCGAGTCTAGATGATTCTTTATGACTCAGCTCTGATGAAGAGTCATCTAGACTCGAAATGTTAACTTGCTCTTTCTCCACAGATGCTGCCTGATCCGCTGTGACTTCCATCTTGTCTGGTTTTCAGTACAGATTCCCGCATCTGCGGTAATTTGCTCCTACGACGACTTTTGGTTCTTTTTGATCTTGTATGGGATAAACTTCATCCAGAATCGAAGCTTGTTATTTTCATAAAATTATACAGCGCAGGAGGCGATTTGCTCCCCCATGTCACTACTCTCAATAAAAGTTATTCACTCTACTCCCATGCTTTAACCCTAAAGCCTTCTAAAATATTACAGGAAGTATATTTACTGTTTGAAAGTTACCAGTGATTCTACTCGCACCACCTTTTCAGGAAGTGGATTCCAGATCAGAATGATTCTAGTGTGAAAAATATCCCAGTTCCACGCTGCCTTTTTCCCCAACTGCTAGTGCCCTTCATCTCGCCCTGTGGCAAATGGAGATCATTTTGCCTCTCTATTAAAACTCAACATTTTGTCTCACTGTCTAAGAGTGATCTCAGCAATGAGTATCGATCTAGTGCACACAACCAGCAATGGTAATAACAAGCCAAAGGCTGCTGTTGTAGCTGAGCAGTCCCTGCTGGGGCCTGGCTGCTGACCTGATGGCGAGGGCGGCCCACGATCGAGGGGAAGACCGCTCGGGGAGCATCATCCCCGGCGAAGCCAGCCTTACACAGTCCGGAGCCGTTGTCGCAAACCAGCGCTGTACTTTCCTCCTCGTCACACATGGTCAATCTGTATGGGCCTGGTGGGGATAAAGGAGAGACACCATTTCAGTCCAGATAACACAGCCAGAGACCTCTGTGTGTATGTGTGTGTGTTGATTCACGTGGTTACCAAATACATTCATACAATCTAAATTCAATGGTCTGTCCCAGAACAGGATGAGGGACAAATCTGAACTTTGCACTTGTTAGATAAATATAAAACCATATTGGGAATGAAGCGCGTTTGTGCTTATTTAACTTAAACGTCCCAGCAGTGTTTCTGCAATCCTTTGTGAATTCAGAATATTCAGCAAAAATAGATTTTATTCAAATCCTGAATCCCACTTTCACAGGCAGGTCTTTTCAGTTCAAGGCTGGTAAAAAATTTTCAAAAGAGCCAGTAGATCCCTGCTGTCTAACAGGAAGTGCAAATTCATCGAAGAGCTTTCTTTTAATGCATCTTTCTCCCTAATTAGGAAATCGCCTGCAACATCATAAAAGTTCTCCTCAAGTATGTATTTCTTAGTCCAAGTTGCTCCTGCCTATCCTCGGGCAGTCATCTCGGACTTGCAGTACCACGAGCGACCAGAGGGGCGCTGGAAAAGGGATTGGGAAAGGACCATATTTAGTCATAAACCCAGAAAATCCACAACACTGAGCGGCTGCTACACAGTGTTACAGCTAATCCACGTCAAGCAGGTTACATTGCCAGAATTAGCTCTCTTTGCAAAGTAGTGATCCTTCGCCAGACACTGTCACTCTCTGTTCTGCCGATAGCCCATTGCAAAGCAGATACAGAAAACAATACTGAAAAAGGAGGCTTGATTTCAGGACTAAACAGTAGGAGATTCTGAAATCTAAACGAGAGCATTTAAAAAATATATATTGAAAGCAGTCGCTCGTTTATATAAACAGGTAAGAGCGGAGTCAAACTCCAGCACATCTGGGAGTTTACGCAAGCAGTGCATTAACTAGACATAAAGCTGTCAAAATCTGGAGAACAATTTTATGAATTATCCCGCAGCTACTCGTTACTTATAGAAGCAAGCAGTAATTGTGCCGACATTAAATTCGTGTAGAAATCCTTAGAATAAGTCTGTCCAATCATCAGCAACTACAAAAAATCAAACCCACTCTATTATCAGTCCTAAAGCTCACTTTTCAAACCCCATATAAGCTAGACAAGGTAGATTTCCACGTTAAATTTTCTGATATTTTATCGCCACTTGGAATAAGCAAACGACAGGCAATAGTTATCAATTTGCCTTAAAACGGATGAAGCATTTTCTTCAAAAAAAATTAATAAATGCCAGGCTTTCATTTGAGAGAAACCTCATGCATGCAGCCTGCTACTCGCGGTTTGCCCATCGGTTCAAGCTGAGAATAAATCCAGATATTGAATCAGGTACAGAGGCAGGTATTAACCCTTGCCTGGGACTCACCCTGTCTGCTTTGCCGGGGTCCTTTACTCTGGGATGGTGTACTCTTCCTCCCCGCTTTGTTAAGTTTTATAGCCCTTGAGTCTCGTCACCTTCTGATCCACCCACATCAGCCCCAAAAAAGGACCAGACCCCGAGCCCGGCTGCACCGATTGCTATTCCACAGCCATATACGGTTCTCACAAAAGCCCTTCTCTGGGTGGCCGAGGTACATTCCAACTGCGCAGTTCATGAAGTGAAGGGGAATATCAGCGTTTAGCATAAACAGAGCCACAACTAGGGGGGAGCAGCAGCAAATATACACTGACAGTCCGCTGATAGATGGCACTTGCCAATGTTTGATCATCCTCCGTGACCACTCAGAATCTTAACTCAGGCGGATTAAACTTCCTACCATAAGATGACCGCAGAAGTAATATTTCTGCACATCACTTTTGATCTCTGAGGCACATCCAGCGGCAGTGTAAAGTTTCACTTGAATCGAGAGGATTCAGTGCAACACAATCTATGGGGAGACGAGGAATATCCTTAGATGGTAAAGCCGAGAGATAGCCACATCCCTCTCTCTCGGAAAGAGCTCAATTTCATGAATTTAAAGGGATATCACTAGAAAGGGAATTGCAAATATTTTGCCAACTTCGGTTTGCTTGAAAACAGATGGTTTGCTCTTGGTGTACTGTCTGATTGATTGTTGTTCCTTTGAAGCGCACTGGACAACAATGACAAGGGTGTCGTTGAACTTATAGCTCATCTCGTGTTGAAAGTTAAGGTTTAAGTGTCAGAGTTCAAAGTGAAGTGTCTATTCGCTGAAAGTCTCTCTTTGGTCTTTGCAGAGAGTTGTCCTTGGTGGAGTGTTGCAGACTGGCACACTCCAGGGTCCAGGACTATGTGCTGAGGGACACTGTAAAGCTTGGGGCAGCAAGACTGCAGTGAGGAGAAGCTGTTGGCTAAGACCTTACAGACACAATGTGCTGAAGCACCGTTCACTTGTAGAACTCCCTGGGCTGTAGATATTTTTCTAAACAACTTGTTCGGAGATGTTATTACACACCTCTGGAACAGGTGGGAGTGAACCAGAGCCTCCAGGTCCAGAAGTAGGGGAACTGCCACTGCACCACAAGAGCTCTAATGCACACACCTTTATTCACACGCAGCCAGCTGCACTGTCCAATGGCCTGTATACTTGTTATTGAATGTGTTTGGGAAATGTCACATGTACTGCATTTGGAATGAGGTACCCAAGAGTGTAACACAATCAATGGAGAAAAGGTGTATTTTATTACATCTCCATAAAGGGCAATTTGAATTTTTTTGGAATGCACTTTTGGATGGCTTGTGAATAAAGTATATTTTGTGAATGAAGTGTCAGGAAATGACCATCTTAAGCGGCATTGCCTTTGACCAACATCCCACCATTAACCATTTGAGAAGACCACATGTACACAAGCTTGACTGGACCAGCTAGATAACACCATTGTTACTAAAGCAGGTGAAAGGCAGTCTGTCCTACCAGGAGTAGTTCAACTCCTCACTGAATAAAGCTCTCCAGTAACCACAAGGCTCAGTTTGGGAATGTAATTGAATACTCTTCATATATCTAGATGGGGACATCAGTTTAATTAGAATTCCCTCCACCCGTGCACTATCTGCAGTAAATGATTAAAAATCATGTGACAGCACCTCTCAAATCCATGGCATCCATTATGGAGAAGGATAAGGCCACAAGTGTCTGGAAACGCCATCATCTCTGAGTTCCAGCTCAAGTCACACAATATTCCAACTTGAACAGATACAACTGAGTTCTGAAACTCTCCACCTAATAGTATAGTAGGAGCACATACACCAAACAGTCAACAGCAGCTCAAGAATAAAGCTGAAGGAAAACTCAAATGATGAGCAATAAAATACAAGCATTCCTGAGCATAAATATATGAATTCATTTATTACAATGAGCTTTATTTGGCTTTTAAGACGCAGGGAAAGCTTCACTTCCACCTCAAGACACAGACATACTGAAAGGAGTATCAATAATTCTATAGCTTAATTTTAGTGTTTGAAGTATAGGCCCCACTTACATAATGCACCTCTTTTGTGTTCAAAGAAATAGCTTAGGTTTCAGGACAAAGCTGTTCATGAACTGATTAAAAACAAGTTGTTTGAGGCTCTTTCCACATAACCAACCTACATTCCACTAAATGTGGACCATTTTCCCTCATGTCTCAGTAATCCAAGCAGATGTGTAGTTTTCAATGTGAGTTGTAGTTCTGCACCGTCCCCAGTACAAATCAGTTCTGTCTGCTAAATATTACATTTTTAAAAAATGTGCAGAAGTATAACTGAAGTCTTGGACTGGAGCATAAATGAAATTTAACAAACACATATGCTCATTACAACACATAAGTATTGATTAAAATCACTGACAATTCATTCAAGATTCTTGTCAACAAATGGGCTTCAAGGATTGAAATGTACAAGGCAATACTTTAAACTGGTGGGCTAAATGGACAGAGAATTTTCTCCGAGTTGAAACTGACTGTGTAATGTTATAATTGGCTTCATTGCCAATTAGTACATTTTCCAAAGGGAAATTAACACCAGAATTTATTAAATAAGTGGTTATATTGTAGGATTTCCCACAGATAATGCCGACTGCTATTTTATTCTGTAAAATTGGACAAAAAGAGCTTAATTTTCCCAGCTCAGCTTTTTTATTGTGGAAGTTGAGACCATTCCCACACTGACAATCCACACACACACACTAGAAGGTATTTAATTAAAAATTCACCTTTCAAGACATGGACCATTTAGGGATGGCGTGTGAAGTGGACTACCCCTGCTCCAGAATGTGTATGCTTTTATTCAAGGACAGTTCTGATAAGCATTTAAAGAGTTGTAATGGAATCTGCACATGCAGCATGGGGTCTGAGGCCCTGGCTCCAGTTACAATTTCTTTTCATGGATTGTAAATGTTTCCTTTGGATATTATATATCTATTCATTCTCAGAATGTGGGCATTGCTTGCAATGTTGGTATGCTTTTTCCAATTCTTAGTCATCCTGTGAATATAGCAGTGGACTACCAGGTATTTTTGAATCATGCAGCCTGTTTGCTGAGGGTACCCCTGCAATGTTGTCAGGGAGTTTTGGTATTTTGACCCAGCAATAATGAGGGAATGATTAGGTACTTCAACTCAGAATAGTGTGTGAATTGGTAGGAAGTTTGGAGCTGATAGTGTTTCCATGCACCGGATTTGCTTGTCCTTCTATATAATAGAAGTTATGAGTTTTAGAGGCATTTCCAAAGATACCCTTCCACTAATATCCCAGACACAAACCAAGATTATTTTATTTTATGGTAATTCCCTGTTCTTGTTTTAGTTCAAGGAGAAACAAGTTCCAAGAGCCCTCTTGTAAAATAGAGGGCGTTCTCTGCAACCCTGACCAATAGCATCCTTGCAAGAGTCATGAAGCACAAACAGCCTCAACATCCATCAAGTAGACAAATTATCTACACATTGAAGGAAACACTCAGATGCCTGAATAGATGAGATTGTGCAGCCATTGTCATCTGCTGTATGTATGCTCCATAGCTTTGACACCCATAGCCATATAGGGTGACCCTGCAGGTCATGCAGGGAGTCAAGGAGAACCATCATCTATAGACCAGATCAACCTATTCTGAAAGATATTTGCAAGCTAGAAGAGCATTTTGCCAGGATGACATTGAGGATACATCAGCCACTTACATGTTCACTAAGCAATGATCCACTGCACCATCACTAATGCATTACTTCAATTACCGTGAATGGCTTTCTTTTGATTTACTGCTACTTTATCCTGTAACATCGGACAAAAAGAGCTGAATTTCCTCAGCTTAGTTTTTTTTTGCAGATGTTGAGACCATTCTCACATTGACAATCCACACGCACTCTCCTGCTAGAAGGCTTTTAATTAAAAACGTACCTTTGAAGACATGGACCATTTAGGGATGGTGTGTGGAGTGGGCAATTACAACATTACTTATCTGGATATTGACCAGGAAAGGTTAGACAGAAAGGGTTAAGCAGTTAGGATGCCACAGTGACTCAATGGTTAGTATTGCTGCCTCACAGCACCAGGGACCTGGGTTTGAATCCAGCCTTGGGTGACTGTGAGGAGTTTTCTCCCACATTCCAAAGATGTGCAGGTTAGGTGGATTGGCCATGCTAAATAGCCCATAGTGTCCATCAATATGCAAGCTAGGTGGGTTAGCTATGGGAAATGCAGGGTTATAGGGCAATGGCAGGGGGTGGGTCTGAATGGGATGTTCTTCAGAGGGCCGGTATGGACTAGATAGGCTGAATGGCCTGCTTCCACACTGGAGGGATTCTATGAGAAAGGTCTGACTCTAACCTCTGGGTAGCTCCACTACTGATACCATTTTACCCTTCCCCAATGACTACACAGCCCCTTGTCTTCCAATCTGAGCACCCTAACGATCACCTGACAACCCTCCAAGTACCCCCACATGCCCGAGCCCTAACCCGACCTGACTGGACCCCAGCCTGACAACTCCCTACCTTCGAGACTATGTCATAGTTTGCCCACCCACTCACCACCTAGCCATCGCATGTACCTGCCACCCTATCCAACTGCCTCCCTTACCTACTTATCTCAGCCACATCCCCATTCTACCTCCCTCTCCACTCACCCATTCACACCAGACATTCAGAATTAGGTTATGGCAGCCACTGCAGTAAAGAGGGGAGGAGGTCTCTTCACTGCTCTGTCTGTGAATTCTCACACGGAGGGAGTTCCTCAGGAGGCAGACCCTTTCAAAGGTATCTAGATAAATGCACAGTTTCTGTTTGATCAGTGTCAAACAACAACAGTTCGGACATTGATTAGAAGATTTGGACCACTGTTTTAAATTAATTCACAAAATGTTTACATGGGGTTATCCTGGAGCCAGGATTAAAGAAAGACAGGACAAGTATCTGAAACGAATGTGACCGTTCAACAATCATTATTTTTATTATATTCATCTGATTAGGATAAGGTGAGACGACAACTGGTAGAAACTGTGTTCAGAATTTCATGCGTCCCACCCAGCAGCTTTGTGGTAGCGGGGTGCAGAAATTTCCTTGTGTGGTCTTTATGCCACACTCCCACCTCCTACCTGCTGCTGTCCTGCCCACTACTTTTTCCCTTTCATCAGATGAGACTAAGGCCTCAG